TATATTATATTATTATATGATATATCAAACAAACATTGCATGCAATATATATGATATAAGCTATTATACAATTAGTATTTATTTTATTTTTTTGTTGTTTTGTTGCTTTGTTAATCTTACATAATAGTAGTGATTAATTAGCGTAAAAATATATATAGAATAATAATAATAATAATAATATAATAATGAAGTTTTACATATAATAAAAAAAATTAAATAAATAAAATAATATCTGATAAAATTTAGCATAAATTTTTAACTAAATAAATATTAAATTTACAACAACAAAAACAAAAATTACAAATAAACAAAATTATATAAATATATTAAAATCTTTTTATTATTATAATTATTATTATTTAATTTTTTTTATTTAAAAAAAAGATTAAATTAAAATTAATGTCAACTAACATTAAAAAATATGATTTTATTATTATTATTATTGCTATTATTATTATTAGAAATGTAATCAAAATTTAACAATTTCATCATTTTTTTACAGCAATAATTTATTATTTGTTTATATTTCATAAATAAAACAAACAACGATAACAACAACAACAAAATTATTTCAAAAAACTATTTGATAATCACTAAAGCAGTTAAAAGTAATTTAAAACATAAGATAAATATAGTGCTAAAAATCAACATTTTTATTGCAAACATATCTCCGTATGTAATATGTTATATAAATATATATTTATATAATTTTATTATTATTATTATCAAAATAATTTTAATAGTATATATATATATAAGGCCACACACACACACACATTGCTATATTTACTTATACAGTATCGTATGTATACTAATATTTAAAGATGTTTTATTTGTTGATGAGTTAGAAAAATATTTTTTAATAACATTTTCAATCTTAAGACTACATTAAATAATTACATATAGAAAAAAACATAATACAGTATATCGTGTTATTTATTATTGTTATTATTATTTAAAACAACAAATAAAATAATACTTTAAAAAAACAAAATAATAAGATTTCAATATTTTATTTTATTTCAGTTATATCAAGTTTATCTTTTACTTATTATTATTATTTACAATATTATTGTTAGTATATTTGTTTTAATATGAAAATCAATTTTCCAATGAATATAAATATAACGTTAGGTTTAAAAATAATAACAAAAATTATTTTAGTTTTTTTTTCTAAGAATCCATTCAATCATTTCTATCCATTAAACAGAATCTCAGTTTTTATTACTCTCTCTCTCTCTCTCTCTCTCTCTCTCTCTCTCTCTCTCTCTCTCTCTCTCTCTCTCTCTATCATAATCTATCAAAATATGATATATTAAAAATAATTTAAATATTTGAATACCATATATTTGTTTATTTTATTTTATTTTAATGTTAACGATACTTAGGCAACAAAATAAATAAATAAATAAATAATCAATGCATTTTCTATTATTATCAAATATATATACTGTATAAAAGTGCAATTATATTTTATATGATAAAGCATTTTTTTGGCTAACAAACATACAGTATATATATATATACATAAACAAAAAAATTTTGCTACCCCACCAACATAATCACTTGGTAATAATAATAATATAAAACAATAGTTTGCTGGATACAATTATAAAAAAACTATAGCAAAAATATAGTACAACAAAATAAATCAAAACAAAATAAAATAAGTGAATGGATTGTAACATTGTTTGGCTAAAAAAAATAATAATATAATTTTTATTTATTTATTTAATTTTTTTTGTTTTTTAAAAATAAAATTTATCACAAATTACTTTATAATTGAAATTCATTGTATAAATTGTATACATTATATACTGTATACAATACTGTATATTAAATAATATAATTATTTTAAATCATTCAACCTGCATGATAATTATATAAATTTATATAAATTAAATATTATAATTATTATTATATAAATTATATATAATACAATACATCAAAATACACACACTCACACACACTACAAATTATTTATATATATATAATTTATATGTTTATATACATACAATATAAATACAGTATATAATAAAAATTATATATGAACAATATTTACAGATATAAATTTTGACTGGATAATTATATAGTGTAATGTTTTATTATAACTTTGCCATTCATGCATTTTATATACAGTAAATATATATATATATATAAGTAATGACTATATAATAAATAATATATTGTATCTGTATATTGTTATATAACTAATAAAATTAAATAAATCACAACTAATAAAATCATATAATAATAACAACAACAATAATAATATAAATAATAAGTAATACAATAATGTGTAATACAATTTTAAATTTGATGGGTAAGCAAACAGTATTAACCAACTTTATATTAAATTACAATTTTTTGTGGTTTGTTTTTTATTATTAGTATTATATTATATTATTACCAATTATTAAAATTATTTAATTATATTTAAGTAATTTATTTTGTTATTTCAAAAATTATAAGTGTAATATGCCTGTATAAAAAATAATAATAATAATGATTGATATTCATAATATTATTAATTGAAATACTTTTTATGTTTAACAAAATAATTGAACAAAAAACTATAAGTATATTGATCTCATTGAAAAAAAACTAAAAAAATTTTAAATAAAATTATCAACGCTATAGTTTTTTAATATATATATATATATATATATATATATATATATATATATATAATCTTATTTTAGTTAAATTACATTTAACTGAGGTATTTAAAAATTTATTTTTAAATATCATACTATAATACAGTGCATACATACACATACAAACACATAATTAATTAGCTAAACTATTATAAAACGTGCTAAACAGATGCATAACTTAATTATGCTTGAAAATTTTTTAATATTATAAACTTAAAATATATATTTACTGGTAAAGTAAAATTAACTTTTTTTAAAAAAAAAATTTCATCATATAATCATGTTTAAACATAGATATATATATATAAATGCATGAAAACTATTGTTAATCATATTAACTTTAATTAATAACAAACAAAAAACAAAATATTTATATATATATTATATATTTCTAATAGATAATAATTATTAAACAATTTTTTTTAAATATAATTTTTAAAATTAAAAACACATACATATATATATATATATATATATATAATTATAATCGTCATATAAATTATGTAAATCTAAACTTTTCATATGACTCTCTCTCTCTCTCTCTCTCTCTCTCTCTCTCTCTCTCTCTCTCTCTCTCTCTCTCTATCACTCACTTATATTATATAACTATTGCTATTATCACACGGTTTATGTTTTTAAAAAAAATTTCATTTTGGTTGAGTTATCCTTGAATTTTGTTTGAATAATATGAGTGCACTTTTTTTTGTTGTTGGTTTGTTATTTGGTTTCAATTTTCAGTGAACGACACATCACTTATATATATATATATATATATATATATATATATATATTTATATCATATAATACTATCAGTAATACTGTGTTTGATTGTACTGTTTGGTTGTATGTGTTAATCAAAATAAAAAAAAACAAAATAACAAAATAATAAATTTTATTAATTATCGATAACTATTACTAAATAAATATAGAAATATTACAGTTAAATATGATTAGAAATTTGTTATTTTTGTATATATATATATATATTAGATTATCTAATATTAATATGAGATTAAACCAAATAAATAGTATACTATGCACTGTACTGTACAATATATCTATACATTTAAAAATAAAAAATTTCATATAAATTAATTTTTTTTATATATAAAATCTAAAATGAAAAAAAATCAGTATTTAAAAACAAATATAATCTTTTTTTATATTTAAAAAAAATATATTTACAGCACTGTTAAGTGTTAGCACCATTTAAGAAAAATGAGCATGCTCAGCATTTATTTATTTTTTTGAATTTTATTTTCATTATCAACTTTAAAAAAATTTTTTTTTTTATATATATCTATTAAATATTTGTGTTTGTTTGCTAAATAAATTGTAAAATAATTATATACAATATATAAAGTGTACTGTGTATGAATTATTTATTTATTTTAATTTTAATAAAAATAATTATTTTTACTATGCTATTAATTTTTATTAACTAATAAAGTATATGTAATACTGTAATGATATTAATGATAATAATAATAATAGTACAGTACATATACCGTAATTAATTAATATTTGTCATATCATTGTGTCTAGTTGCAATAATTTTTTTTTTTTAAAACAATATTTCCTATAAAAATTTTGCATTTTATATATAAATATCTAAAATAATAAAATTAAAAAATTAAAAGTAATTTTTGTTTTGCTTTATAATTTTGTTATTTTTTTTGTTACTAATCAGTTACAAAATATTTTTTAATTTTAATTTAAATAAAAATAAAACAAAAATCATTATCTAATAGTCATATACATTGTACAATAAAATGTTGCTAGATAATTTTCGTGTATCTATTGTAGTTATAATCAATAATCATTCAATAATATAATAATAAATAAATAAATAAATATTGTACATTGTACATTATTTTTAATAAAAATATTTTCAATAAATAATTGTTTTTTATAAAAAAAACACGTACTGTACATACGTAATATAATACAGTACAGTATATATATTACGCGCGCGATTAATAACTATGTACAATGTACAGTATACTACAAACAATTATATTGTACTCTCTCTCTCTCTCTCTCTTTAATAATTTATTGCTTTTGTGTTGCTTATTTTTAGAAAAATGTGAAAAAAAACTATTAAAAAAAACTAAAATTTTAACGTGAATCACGTGACCATCCAATAGCACCACCAACACTAACAACACCCGCCATGCACAAAATACAATATTTTAACGCACGATAGATGGCACGCGTTGAACGCGCGTGCGTGAATCGAGAGAGAGAGAGATTGTACATTGTACAATGTATATATATATACAAACACTATACAGAGTATACACTGTACATTCTACTGTACATTCAACACAAAACAAAAAAAAAATTGTTTGACTGCACACACACACACACACACTGTACATACAGTACAAACACACACAACAGTGTGTTTCTAGTGAGACATTGACAGAGAGTTAGTTATAGTGTGATAGAGAGCACACACATAGAGAGAGATATTACTGTATTATTATTATTATACATACAGTGAGTATCAGCAGCAGTGCATACCATACGATAATAATATAATATACTATTACTACAGTGTATAGTGTGTTGTTATGTGTGTGTACTGTACGTATGTATAGCGCGTTTACAACACAACACACACACTATGGAGACTCCATTTTGTTGTTTCGAGAAAATATCAAAAAAAAATATATCCATTAAAACAAAACTAAACTAACAGTGCATTCATTTTTCATTATTATTATTATTATTGGTATACAATAGTTGTGTGTATTATATATGTTTAGTAGTGTTGTGTTTTAGTGTCGTGTCGTGTGTTTAAAGTGTATTAAACAACGGCCAGTGATTACTACTACAACTATATCATCGATAACATCGACGACGACAACAATAACAGACTGGTAGTGGTGGTGACCATAAACCACTACACATATGATAATAATCATCGGGTGCTAAAAGTTTGGCTAACAGACCACATATGGACACTAGTAATATGCGGTGCGCTTCGTATAATCGTACGAAATGCGAGCGCACGGGTCGCGGCTGCGGTGGCGAACCCGAACATTGTCGGGCACCCGACGGTAACGATCGATTGCCGACACTGTGTTTTGCTTTGTGGCAAAATTCTTCGGACAGAGGATTGGTACCCGAATTCAAGGGCTGTTGGGTTGGATCAGCTAAAGATTGTGTCCATCAGTCGCAGTGTATCGAAAACAGACGCGAAGCTAAAAAACAATTATACTTTTGCTGTTGCGAAGGTGACCTCTGCAATACCGATACGTTTCATATACCGACACACAATCTGAGTACTGTTTCGGCTGCGGCCACGTCGTCACTGAACGGCCATCACAACAATAATCCGTCACTCGCTGGCGGCCACCATTCATCTTCCGCCTCATCAGCATCACTACCAGTAGGCGCACTGTCCATTGCGCTGATAACAATTGTACCGCTGCTGACAATAGTAGCACTGGTGGCCATTGCCTGTATGTGTCGTAATTATCGGCAAAAGTGGCGCCAACAAGAAGTGCCAAACGGTGAGGATCCGCTACTGGATCTGTCGCCGCCGTCGCCCTATGTCGGCCTCAAACCGATAACACTGCAAGAAGTTAAGGCTAACGGCAAGTTCGGATCGGTTTGGAAGGCGACCGACGGTTCAGATAATTCGGTTGCCGTCAAGATATTTGCACTACAAGATCGGCAGTCGTGGCAAATTGAACAGGAAGTCTATCGTTTGCCGCAAATGAAACACCAGAATGTTCTGAAATATTTGGGAACCGAACGCCGCGGTGAAGGCCTAAACACCGAGTATTGGCTAATAACTGAATACCATTATAACGGCTCACTATGGGATTACCTCAAAGCCAATACTGTCGACTGGAGTCAGTTGCTTAATATAGCTCAAGGAATAGCCAGAGGTTGGTGTCATTTTGTCATCGATGTTGTTGTTGATTGTATTTGTGTGCCCATTACCTACCGTACCTTAAATATCTATATACCCTCATTGTCTTTCATAGTATATGACTGATGAACTGATTTGATACTCCATTTTTTCTCTCTCATTATCTCTGAACTATCTACCCTTCCCTCCGAAATATATATATATATATATACATAAAGACATAGACATACCCCGTATATTACCACATGTTTTATGAGTATTTTTGTGGAAGAGAGGGGGTATCAGTAATGGACATTAAAAAAAGGTAGAGAGGAAAGTGGTGTGTGAGAGAGAGAGAGAGAGAGAGGGACATTTGTACGTTAAGGGGCCCCACAAACACTATAATATACTACATAGAGAGAGAGACCCCTTTCCCCATATAACCTACCTGTCCATCATCAACATACAATTGTTGCTTTGTTTGTTACTAACCTCTCTCTCTCACTATTACATAGTTTCCCTGTTTTTTGTTTGTTACTTATTATTATTATTATTTTTTGTTAGCGTTAATTGTATCGTTAATTATTAATTAATTGTTTTTCATTGTTTAAGTTAGTTGTGATATTTGCTTTCACTTTTTGTGTGTACAGTATATTTCAAAATTTATTTTTTATTACTAAATATTTTATTTTTAGTTATTTTTTAAATACTATAGTTTAATATCATATATATAGTAAATAGCAATTGATAATATATATATATATATATATATATACAGCCGTTTATTTAATTTTGTATATATTTTTAGATACATAGTATTATATATATATATATATATATATATAATAATAATAATCCTTTTATTCAAATGTTTTACACGATTGTGTCTTTTTTGTTGTTGTTTATTGAGTAAAAAATTTTAAGCCATATTTTTTTCATGCGTTTATATAAAAAAAATTCAAAAAAATATTTTAGTGAAAAATTTGTCGGCAAATTTAATGTAGTTTTATTATTATTATTTTTATATTTATTATTGTTATCATCATTATTTTTATTTTTAAATACATGCTGTTTTCTCAATATGTGTTGAAAAAACTAAATACAATATATATGTATAGATATATTGATATATTGAAATCAAAAAAAAATATAATAACAAAATGAAACTTTTATTTTTGTTGTTGAAATAAATTGTGTATAAAAAACAAACAAAACAAAAATGTGAGAACAGATTGATTGAGATCTAGATTTATCAAACAATTTGACTTTTCAATTGTCTTTATATTATTATTATTATGTATTATAATAAATATATGTATATATTGTGAAACAATTTGATGAATAACTCGTTTTTTTATTGATTTTTATTATTTTGTGTTAGAGTCAGCTAATAATAAAAAAAAGTAAATAATTTTTTTGTGTTATTTGCCGACAAACAGATTAATCGCTGATAAATATCTGTCATCTTTTTTATGCATATTTTTTTGAACAACAAAAACATAATTTACTAATATTTTGTTGTTTTTATTTAATATATTTCTCTATCTCTCACTATTATCTCTGAAAAAATAACTTATTGTTTGTTTATTTCAACAAATTTTTTTTTTGTGAACAGTGACAGTGAAACTGAAAAAATATCTATTTTTAAAAAAAAACTAAACAATTATATAATTCATTCATTATTTTTCGATGACAATTATGAGAGACACATATAATAATAAAAATAGTAATAATATATTAGTTTGTAATTTGAAACCTCTTTTGGCAAAAATAAGTTATTTTTTGACAAATTTTTTTTTGGATTTTGTTTTACTTTTTTTCAACTTATTTTTAGAAAACGATTGTTTGCTTAACTGATACATTGTTTTGTTATTTTGTTTGAAAAAAGGTTTTTTTTGTTACCTTTTTGTGTGTAATATTTTTTTCTCGATCTACTATTCAACCTAAAAATAATTAGTATTTCAATATATCGTTTTGTTTTTTATTTTCGGTTATTTTATTAGTTAGTATTTATATAAAATATTTATTTATTTTTATTATAAAAAAATTCATTATCATTTAATGTCATGTTTTGTTTTAACTTTATATTGTTATTACATGTCATCATAGGATGTGTACTAAAATTTATGAGAGAGAGAGAGAGATGTCTGATTGTGATAATCAGTTGTTTTTTATTGTTAGCTAAATGTTTGAGTTTTGTTTTTTAAAAATTTTAAAAGTTATTATTATTATAATATTTTTTTTATATAAAGAAAAAACACATTTCATTATCATTATCACTACATTATTATTATTATTATATATTATTATAGGCTTAACTCATTTGCACGAAGAGATACCGGCCTCTCATTCATCGCAATTCAAGCCATCGATAGCTCATCGGGACTTCAAGTCGAAGAACGTATTGCTGACCAAAAACCTCAACGCCTGTATCGCCGACTTTGGTCTGGCGCTTGTCTTCTATCCGAAGTCGACGTGCGGCGACGCTCACGGCCAGGTGGGCACCCGGCGCTATATGGCTCCCGAAGTACTCGAAGGTGCCATCAATTTCTCCAGGGATTCATTTTTGCGTATCGACATGTACGCCTGCGGTCTAGTACTCTGGGAGCTTATGTCCCGGTGCCGTAGCAGCCAAGACATGCAGTTGGGCAACGACGGCGACTATCAGTTGCCGTTCGAGGAAGAGGTCGGCCAGCATCCGTCGCTGGAGGATATGCAAGACATTGTTGCCCAACAAAAGCGAAGGCCAGCCATACGACCCGATTGGACAAAACACGACGGTATGAATGTTTTGTGTCACACGATTGAAGACTGTTGGGATCACGACGCCGAAGCTCGGCTATCGGCTTCGTGTGTCGACGAAAGGATTAGCGCCGTAATTCTCTGTCCAAATGTTATCACCAATTGATTTTCAAAAGAGAGAGAGAGAGAGAGAGAAAGAAAAAGAGACTTATGGTGTGTGTGATGTGTGGGTGACATGAAAATGAAAACAAAATGAACGACAAAATGTTAATATGAATCCTATTATTTCATAATTATCGTAATATATATGTATATAATAAGTATATATATATATATTGTGTGCGAATATGTCTATATATATATATATATATATATATATATATATATATATATAGTTTTTAATTTTTAAATAACTGAGATCCCATTTTTTATTATTTTCTACTACTACTGCTACTAAAAAAATGGATATTTCAAACAAAACACATACACACACACACACAACAAATATATTTACCATTTTTTATTATTATTAAAAAAAAGTGGGATTTTCTCAGTGATAACTCAGGAATTTTAATTCACATTTGTTTTTATTTTTTAATAATAATTGTCTCTTAACTATTTCATTATTATTATTATTAACTATTATACAGTATATATATATAAAAAGTAAAATCATATTTTATCAAATCATTAATTATATAAAAATCACACTCACTTACCAAACATATACATACATACATACATACATACATATACAACATCATCAATGCATTTTTCATACATTCACTAGCATATTATAATACATTTATCTAAAAAATATGTGTAATTTTTATTATATTTTATTTTTCAATCGCCAATGATTTTTTAAAAAAAAGAAATAGTAGTTATATATATAAATGTATAATTCAATCATTAACTATATATATATATATATAACTATATATCTATCAATCTCTCAGATATTGTTTTTTATATATTATTATTTCTATAACTTTTTTGTTCTCATCAATCATTGATTATAACAAAATTCATGTCTCAATTATTATTATTATTAATAATATTAGTTTCACACACATATTAACATTTTTTATTTGTTTTTTTTGTTGTTGTTGTTCATGTGTTTTATTTTTGTTATATATATATTTCACGTGTCAATCATTATATATACAGTATATAAATATATATACATTTATTACCTCTTAATTCACTCAACAACAATTTTACATAATATACACCCCATATAATTGTATGTATGGATAGATGACAACACATTACACTCAAACTGCATATATATATATATATATATATAATTGAAAAATGATATCAAGATTTTTATGGAAATATATGTATATATATATAATTTTAATTTATTTATATATATATATGATATTGAAGAAAAATATTGTATTATTTTTTTAGTGAACAAATCTCTGATAAAAAAATAATAATTTTTTTTCTGCTATATTACTAATAATATAATACGACAGTTGAGTTTTAATGTTTTTTTTAAAAAAACAAAAATGGAAATATTTTTGTTTGTTTAATAGACTCTATTGTGTTTTTTATATTTAAATAATATTAAATATATAACAATTTAATGATATTTGAAAGTTATTTGTATCAACAACAACAACAACAAAAACATTTATATATATATAAAAAACTACTAATTGATTGATTTGTTTGTATATTTAACAAAAAAGACAATATTGCAGTTAACCCTATTGTTAATGAATAGGACTAATTTATTAGAGGATAGGCTAATATATTTAGAGAGAAAGAGAGTGAAACTCAAAATATTATGTAATTTTTAAAAAAAATTATTATTTTTAAAAGTTTATATAAATTTATTAAATATTTACATTACACACATATTGTAAGACAATACGAAATCAAATTTTTTATTGTATATATATTTATATATATTTTACGAAACATTTTTTTTTAATTATTATTATTGAATGTCTTTTTTTGTGTGTGTGTGTGTGTTGTATATGATAGTGAATGAGAGTGAGATAGAAAAAATCAATTAATTTTTTTGTGAAAGTTTTTTGTTGTTATATAAAAAAATAAATGTCAAACAATCTTATAATAATAGTAACTTTAATGTAATAATAATAATCTGTATAATAGGTAATATATGAATGTTTTTTTTGAAAGTTATTTAAATAGAGAGAGAGAGAGAGAGGTTATGATAGTTAAAGATTTTGATTGTTTGATTGATTTACTAACTGTAAGACTGGGATATATATAAATATATATATATATATATATAGAGAGAGAGAGAGAGTGATAGTGTTAGATAATGGCACCGGTAGTAGTAGTTGACCACCACATAGACACCAAGTGTTTGGACAATATATTGTTGACTGTTTTTTTTTTGATTGATTGATATGTTAGGATTAGGCATATATTATAGGGATGACTTCCAATGATAATAAAACATATAAAAAATGGGCGATTAATTTAATTTAGTAATTTTAGTCATTTATATATATATATATTAACTTTTTTTATTTTTTTAAAAAATAAAATAATAACTATCGTTACCTCCACAACACCAACAAACACAATAATAGCCTCAATTTTTTTTAATTTCAATTATTGATATAATAATTACTCAATTGATTTTTTATATATATAAATATTATTTGGGTGTAAAATGTAACTATTTTTTTAATTATATATATATTATAAGTTATTTATTATTATTAGTCATAATCAATACACTTATCTACCTGTGCACACATTTTATACACACCCGTACGTACCATACCTACCTACCTAACTATCTACCCCATTCACACACACACTGCCCATTAAATGCCGGTAATCTATTACATAGATATATATATACTCACTGCCCATCTGTGCCCACCACACATACATACATACATATACACACACAGAGACATACCGTTTTCCCTCCAAACAAAAATCATTGGGTCATCGCTGTAGTTGTTAGTTTGAAAGTTATCGGACTATTATTATTATTATTTAATATTTATATAATTATTATATATATATAAATTGCTTTACGAGTATTAAAAAATTATTATTAAAGAGAGAGAGAGAGAGAGAGTAATTGTGTACAGAATTTTCAATTTCCAACAAATATATATATATATGTGGTTTCGTTTTTTTTGTTTGAAAAAAATACAAACAACAAAACAATTCAAATGCTATTTTAAGTAACTTTTTTTTATAAATATAAAAAATGTTAAATAATAAAACATTATTTAAATGAAGTATACATGTATTTACAAACAAAAGCAATGTCTTATATATTATTATTATTATTATTATATATTTAAAAAGAAAAGATTATTTGAGAAAAATTTCTAATAAATTGCTAATAAATTTTTTTTTCAACAAACAAACAAACAAAAAATCTATGTTTACAATTGTTATTATTATTTTTTTTTTAATATTAATATTACTACTATATGTGACTATATTGTTAATAATAATAATAATATAATGTCAGTAAAATGTTTTTTTTGAAAACAACTAATGTTTATTATTAATATTAATTAATTATTTTTAATTGCAATCAATCTTTTTTATACATTAATTAATTAATAACAATAATATTTCTGTTATATATATATATATATACAACATCTAAAATTAATATATAAATAATAATAATTACTATAAATACAAAACTTTATGTGCTTTAAAAATTTCGTTGAGTAATAACAATAGTAATCAATATATATATATATATATATAAACTTTTATATATATATATCTATATATTTGATTATTATTGTTATTATTAATTACATACCGGTATATAATTAAGCTAAGCATTTATATAAAAAACTACTTCAAAGATATTACTTATTATTAGATATATTTATATATAATATATTATATATATATATATAAGTTATAATTCAATACGAGTATCACTTTTTTAAAGATTATTATTAATAATATTGACAAATGAAATGTTAGCCAAACAATTAAATTTACTGTAATATAAGTGAAATCATTATTAAAAAAAGTTATACCAATATATATATATCACTCTCGCTTTTTCTCATATACATTGATTTATATTATATATACCGTATAAAAATTATATATATAAAAACAAAATTGTGTAATAAATAAAACAATGAAAAAAAAACAATAAAAGATTTATTTTGTATATTAATAATAATAATAATAACTATAATATTGTATAATTTATTAACAGACAAACAAACAAACAAAAAACATAATTGTTTCAATCAATTAGCTTTTAGTTATATATATATATATTTATTTATTAATATATATATATATAGTGTAAATGTAATTATTATCAGATAATATTAATAATCATTTGACTTGATTTAAATAAATAAAAATAAATTTTAAAAATAAACAATTTGTATCAAATTTTAACTTGGTAAACTATTTGACATTTAATTGTTTGTATAAACAATTATACGATAAATGTTATGTAAATTTTTAAAATTAAAAAAATACAATATACAATACATTATTATTATTATTATAATAAATTTTTTTATATAATTTTTTAGTTGACTAGTTTTGTTGTTGTATAATTAGTTATAATTACATACACAATATACCTAATATATATATATATATATATACCTCTTTTATGTTTAATTTTTTAAAACTATCAATTTTAATCACTATTAAGTTGTAAATAATATTTTTTAACAATTAATTATTATTATTATCATTATTTTAATTATAGTTCACTTTATATATAAAAAATAATAATAATACAAATGCTTGCAATGAAATTTATTGTCATTATTATAATAAATATAAATCACATTTTTAAAATTTTATTTTTTATTTTTATTAATTATTATTAAACATTATGATGACCTTAATAATGATAATAATTATTACTATTATTACTACTACTATTATTGATATAGTTTTTTTTTGTTATATCAAAACATAACAAAAAAATTTTTTTTTTGTGGATATCTGAATACCAGCTGATAATATTGATTATTTAATAATAATAATAATAATAATATCGTTTTTATTACAACATTATAATTAATTAGTTAGCATTTATGTTGAATTTATAATCAAATTTTTAGAAATTATATGAAGAAAACTATTGATTTTTTTTTTAATATATAAAATATATTTAATGTTAGTATCTATTAATAGTTATTTTATTACGGAAATACTTATGTTGTATAATAAAACAGTTTTTTTTATTTTATTGGATTTTTTTTATATATAAAATATCTATAAATTTTTGTTTTATTTTGTTTTGTTGTGTGGTTTATGTTAGTTTAGTTATAGTTTTAGACATTATTTAATGAGCTTTTAATTGGTGAATAT